GTCAGTTGTCCGGCTCTGAACGCGTCGAGATAACGCGGTTATCGCGGGCGATTTTTCAACGAACAAACTCGGTCGTTACGTAACGTTTTCGGAAGTAACGTATTAAATATTGCGCGATTATATAGTTATATCCGCGTATACGTGTGATGCCGGTGGAGTTATGTCAAGCATCGAGGGAGCTAACAACCCGAGAGGACAGCCTGAGAGGAGGAGGAGGCCTGGGAGAGGCATCGGGCGCCAGCGGAACAACATTGTGGTAAATATTACTTTTTATTTTGTGTAAAAGTAATTTTAATTTTTGCTTATACTTGAGTCGTTTTATTTCATCATGATTTTGAAATAATAATTAGAAAAAAATAAGTAATTTGAAATTTTATAAGAATTTATTTTTGTAAAGATATCTTTCTGAAAATGTATAATTATTTAAATAAAAGTGTAATTTTAAATGATGAATAAGAAGTTTGATGCGTAAGAATTATTTAATATCAAATCATTTATTTATAGAAGATTTATGTTACAGAAGATAACGACGCGGAAAGTGTCGCGTCGAAAGAGCTGACAACCCGAAATGACAGCCTGAGAGGAGGAGGAGGCCTGGGAGAGGCATCGGGCACTAGCGGAACAACTTTGCGGTAAATATTATTTATTTGTGATGTAAAAGCAACTTTTTTTCTGTTTATTCTTGAATCACTTTATTTCACCATAATTTAGAAGTAATAATTAGAAAGAAAGTGGTAATTTGAAGTTTTATAAAAGCTCATTATTGTAAAGATCATTTTAGGAAAATAATTATTTAAATAAATATCTAATTGAATGATAAATAAAAGGTTTGATGCCATAGGAATTATGTTTTAAAATATTGAGTTTTTTAAGCACCATTTTAATATAAATTTTATATTTGTATGTTACAGTATCAACGTAGCTACGTGGCAGATATAATTCCGCTATTGCGCATCGGTGTCGGTGAGTGATGAATTAATATATTTATTGAGGTAACGGATGTATGGTAACTTATCAAATATACATACTATATATCTAGATAAAGGTATGAAATTTGTTAACAATATAAAGATCTTACACATAAGTATATAGCATTCTATACATCCGTTGCCTTGAAATGGATCAGTTACAACAGATTAGGATAAGTTTAATTCTGGACGTTTCTTTATTATTATATTTATTATGGATAATTTATTAATTTAGTGTGCACACGAGAATGTACTCGTATGCATACGATGTGTATAAATTAAGATAGAATCTTTCGGGAAATTGGGAATACCATAATAAAATTTATGGAGGACATAATAAAATATTATTTATTAATACTTAATATTAGAATCAAATGTATCATATTTTGTTGAATTTTAGATTGAAAAATGTTTATTACAAGTATTCTATTATAAAAATGTAACAAACACTATATTATTCCTTTTTTCATCTATCTCTTTCCTAAATACTTGTCCAGGGTTAAACTTTATATAAGTTAGTGCAAAAGAGCTATATATATATGGAATATATATATGTATATATATATATCGCATAATATATTTTATTAAATTTATTGATCTCGCTTTTTTATAAAGTTACATGCCTATATGAATTTTATTATTACTTTCTTAACACATTGACTTTAGCCTAAACTGTTGTAATTAAATCATATGTAGTGATTGATAACTGGATTTTATACCAGTTAAAGTAGTAATATGACGTAAGATCCAATATATATCTATTTTGTTATAAAATAGATTTTTTAAAGTAATTATTTTAGAGTTAATCAGATCACTTAAAAATGATTTTAAAATAATATATTGTACAAAAAATAATTTTAATAATTTGCATAATACAAAGAGATATTTTTATCATTTCTAATTGTGTGAAACAATTATCCCTTTTGGATTTTACGTCATTCATCTGAATCTCTTATCTCTGCATGCTTTTAAGATGAGATTCAGCAACGAATCGTTCGAATCGATAAAAATACGCATATGGGCCTTAGATTTTATTGGAATGCGCGTCTAGTAATTTTTAATCATTTATTTTTAAATTAAAGTTTTATTAGTTATATTATAAAGTTTATATATTTAGAAGTTTAATCTGTTTAATATAAATTTCATAATTGCGATTGAATTAAAACGCTGTCGAAATTTTTTTCAAATTTAGATTTGTTTCCAATCAAATATTTATTTTAATTTTACTGGATATATTTTAATTGCTATGAATAAACGCGTGTAAAGTATAAATGCAAAATTAATTCATATACTAATGAAATTATTATTGTTATTGCAATTAACATGTTAATTGTTAATTTCGTATTTAATTGATTTAATTATTGTGATGGCCTCTTCGCGACGCGTTCGTGTTTCGTGCATCGTACAAAAGCGTAAAATCTTTACGCTTATTGCCGGCGATGATTAGCCGGCAGCAGAAAGAGCATTTCTAGGATCAAGGTAGGTTGGTGGTACACCAATCAATTTGTAAAAAATAACATGTAATAGTAAGCCTAAGATTAATCAGAGATGGAAAGATGCCGTCTCGAATTAAATCTCAATTAAATCCGAATTAATTCCCCGCGTAAATTAAATTCCCCATAAAACTCCTAAACAGTTCCGATTTAAAACCAAATTCGCGCGTACTTTTCTAATTTCGGGTAATCGCGATCGTAACTATATAGGTATACCAGACAAAGACACGGGTAGGTAGAAATATTATTCATGTAGGTAGGTAAGAACGGGTAAAAACTAGATAAAAATCGAGTAGGTAAGGATATGGATAGGTATAGGAATGCGGGAGGGGTGATTCGATGACGAAAAGAAATTAATATACCTACTTTATAATTTTAAGGAATTTAAATTTATTTCTATAATGTCTATTTCTACTAATGCGGATTTTATCTCGAACTTTTTTAAATAATATGAGGCTGAATTAAATTGCATACATATTTTACTACATTTCTTATTTTACATACGTTACAAAATAAATAAATGGCTTATTTACATTTACTTGCTATTCTCAAGTATTTTTAATCTGCATGTAACATGAATTTATATTTAGATATACTTCTATAGAAAATAAAACGTAAATTAAGAAACATATCGTACAGTTTTATATCTTCTTCTATGAATGTCAGAAAATTATCCACGAAGAATATCTAATTCCTCAGGTGTGACGTGCATTCTTAATTCTTTCTCGCGTATCACATCTTGAATTTGAGTGAGAAGTTGAGGCGCTACTTCAGCTGCGTCTATGTAAATGCTTCTTGCCCATGGACACTGTGTGACGCTCTCATGATAAATCTCTTCTCCTTTTTTCTCACATAAATTATGTTCGCGCAAAAGGAGCATATACAGTCTCCATAGCAATGGACAACATTGGGTCGATGGTATCCTGAAAATAATTTTATGTAATATAACATATAAATATGATAGCATTTAAGTATTTGTCATCTTATAAAAATTTAATTATTTTATACCTGGAAAGTGTTAGATGAAACGATAATAGCTTATTCAGTGCAGCATTCACTGCGTCAGAATGATCAAGTTTCATTAGAAGACCAATACGTCTACGAACTGCCAAGCACATCGCTATAGCACGCCACAGTTCAATTTCAGTGCTTCTACTATTGAATCTCCAGGTCGGCAATTCACTCTGAAACAACAATCATTTTATGATTATATTATCAATTTAGAAACATCCTATAGCAGTTGTTTTAATTTAATTATATAGCATTGGTGCAATTAATTAGTGTTTTTTACCTCTATGCCAGCAAATACAGATAAAGCATAAAAGTTATTCGGATATCTATTTAAAGTTTTGCTTAGAGTTTCTTTTAACACAGTCTGCATACTCTGAGTCCGTTCATGATGCAATTGCAGGATTGCAATTTGACTTTCGTACAACATTTCCTGTAACAATTTTAAAATTGTTTGCACATAATTCTTTTAATTTAAATTTACCTGTTAGTAAAAATTTATAGTCGTTCATAGAATATTAAATTAGTACCTGCAAGTAAGGATAATCTTTGGAGTGATCAATACAACTCTTCAATATGTTGACAACAGTTTGAATATCGTCATCTTTAATATACAGGAAATATGCATAGCATACAATCGCGTCGCATTCTAAGTTCGACAGAAAAAAGGTATCCTTTTCCTTCTCATTAGAAGGGACTTGCAGAAAATCTTGTACACACGAATGTAAATACTCTTCAATCAGTGATTCTTGATTTTCGTTTTTGCTAGATACCATTTGACCAAAGACTTTTAGTATCCATTGTCTGTGCGACTCGTTATATGTTCTAATATCAAGCAAGGTTTCGATCAACGTTCTATATACGTTAAAAAGCGCTGCCCTTTCACACATATCAGTAATCGCAGATGGACATGTTCCTTGAGACTGAATGGCAGTCTCAAGAATGTTCATGCAGTTACTGAATCTGCCCATCTCCAATTCTATTAGGGCATATTCCTTATAGAAATACAAGTTATTTCTATTTTCATTCTTTTTCAAAAATTCCTTCAATGTTGCCCTTAATTTCTTTCCTCTGTAATGAAAAAACTTGATTAATCTCGCATGTGAAATAAAAACTATTAAATCTTAGTAGTAAACACGGATCTTACTTGTTATCATGCTTTAAAGGCTCGTCTTTGCTGAGAGAAACCAATAGTCTTTCTAATCGCAACCACCAGACATATATACTTGTCCGTTGAAGCGAAGACAGACTTTCCGCGATTGTATGAAATATCTTGCGTACAAAATCTAAGTATGGTTCCTGCGCCGGATGGAACTTGAGATATTGAGGACCTGACGTTAAACGTCCTTCGAGAACATCCTTCAATAATTCCTTCCTTTGGTCATGACCAGCCATTTCACCTACCATAGGGTACATGAATGGAAGCAGCACTTCTAAAGATTCTATTCCCCAATGAAAGTTTTCCAATGATAATTCCTATAAAAATATAAAATATTCTTTTTCGTGATTTCTATTTGCACAATTTTATAATCTCAATGTTTTATAATTTCTTGTAATTCTATGCTTGCAAGTAATTATAAAGCGATACATTTATAGTTTTTGAATGAGATAATTTCACTTACTTTCATGTAGCAGTCTCGACAAGGCAGAAGTGGTACTTTTAAGCACAAAAGAGAATAAATGGCCATTTGAAAGTTTGAATTACGAGAAAGAATTGGGTGTATAAAATCCGCTACGTCTTCTGGCAAAATAAATCTTCTAGAATCTCCAACCAATTCCAATTCGTCTCTACTAACGCTAATCCAATGACAATTCTCTCTCAGTGACTCTGTTCTTTGCCATAGTTGATTTAGTGGTAATCGCGACATTAATATCATTTCTTCCATTCCAACTGGAAATTATTATTATTATTATTATCAATAATAGTATATTCAGTAGTATCACAAGACTCCTATTAAGTTTTTAAGAAAATTCATTAGATATTATATACGTAATATGTATAGCATTTTTCATTACATTTACCTCCTGAATAATTACCATTAATTTATTATGTAATGATTTGGCATAAGTAAATAACTCGAAACACTTGTTTCATCTGCAATTTGAATAATCCGTGCTTAATAGAAGCCTTTTACTGTAACTTACAATTTATGTACTTACTTAATTTTTTTTCATCTATAGATCCTCGAAAGGATAAACTAGTTCTGTTCAAATTCAGATTCAAATTCAGATTTAAACGTATTGTTTCCCACATTTGTTCCCATAATCCTGTATGCCTCAGGAAAGTTAAACATTGATACAGCATATCTAGATAAAACATAATACATAAAAAATTAATTAGATATGAAAAAATATAAAATAAAATAAAAGTATCGGTGAGACGCCTACTTACACAGCAACTGTGTATCGTAGACAGAAGGATTTGTTCTGGCGCGCTGTCTGAGAACGCAGAAACACTTTGAATACAAATCCAACACTCTTGGTACGGTACACATCGCCACCGAACCTTGAGTGACCATGATAAAATGCTGCCATAATATAATATTTCCTGAATCTTTATTAACTAATGCTTCCAATTGATTCGATAATTCATCAGATGGTGTTAATTCTGTCATAAAACGTAGCTTTAATTTTAATAATTCCTTAGAATCTGTATTTTTCTCAAGTGCTTTTTCAACAATCGACAACTTTTTCAATACTGTAGATTGATGCACATCTTTAGCTAATTGGTGTCTTTGATAATAGGCCAGAGTATCCTGTAACATTTATACTGAAATATTATTAATTTAACTTGGTATAACATACATTTAAAAATGACAATGTTATTAATAATCAAAATGTACAAGAAATATTCTATTAAATACCTGAAAGTTGACGTATTGCAGCCAAAGTTCAATATTATGTGGGTTTTCTGTTAGTTGTTCATTATATTCTCGAGTTTTAGATTTTTGTTCCTCTTCCAAGTTCTTGCACCAAGAAGATACACTTGCTTCCTCGTCTTGTATCATCGAAGTCTCCTTCTCATTTGTCTTCTTGATAACTGTATCCTTCTTCTTCGCTGTTTCTACAGAATCAATATTTTTGACGTAATATCTGTGAAATGGATCTTTTTTTGCTTGTTTACGCTTAACGTAACCGAGATATTTTTCACTAACATCGTAATATGGCCTTGCTCTGGGGCAAAACGTATTTATGTTATTGTTCCCCTTATCTCTACGTCTATCTTCAAAGTATATATTCTTGACATCCAGCTCATGCTCTGGCTTATATCGTTTACTGTCGTGTGTACGTCTTTTCTTTTCCACTTTTTGCTCTTTGTCAGCTTTCTGTCTTGCATGTACCTTCGTATCCCGAGGAATTGTTTCGGGTATTACTTGTTTTTCCGCATTAAGCGAAGATTCATGTAAAGACTCATCCGACGAGGAGTACGGATCAGGAGGCTCCCTTTTAGGGACTTGCGTTTGGAAGCTTGAATTTGATAACCACTTGGAGGAAATATTATCTGAAATTAAATCATACAACACGAATATCAGATATATTAATCTCGAAGCAGAAACCAACAAATTACTACAATATTTGTCTTTGACTTAATTGACTTCACAATGTAAACATTGGTCGAATTTTGAAATAATTACCTATATCGTCGCAATTTGCTGATTCAGTTTTATCGTTCGAATAAGCAGGAAAGAGAGACATTCTTATTCTTTTACTTCTCTTCTTTCTTTTTTTGCGGCGTGAAGTATCAAGTTTTTCTTCTATATTTTCTTCTTTCTAATCTAACCTCTTTCTTATTATAAAAGGCAGAGAGAAGCAGAAGACTGAGACCAAGGTCGGTAAATGGACGCGGCATCTATTTTCGAAATTGGTACTACGTAGTCATGTTCATTTTCCGATACTGCCGATAAAACATCATTTTGGTGCGCGTCCGTGCTACATCTGCAAATTGCGCGGTTTCATCTGATAATACATAATTTAATTTTATTTAATCTGGTATTAGTATCGAGGAAAAGGTGTAACCAATATTTTTAAAGGCCGTCCTGCTTGTACCGAATGTCATTGCGATTAAATGCATTTTGGACTTTGCATTTTCTTAGTTATAAATTAAATATTAGTTCTTATCTTAGGTTTTAACTATAACATATCCGATAGAAACAGGTCGACCTACAGAGGCCCTCCACCACCCCCGCCGATTCCGATCGGCGGTCCTCTTTTATTTACTCCATTCCGAACAGCTGTTCGAACGCAATCACGTGACAGATCGTAGATGCGAGCATCACAAGCATGATGTAAGCATGATGCGAGCGTCATGGATGTGAGAGATAATCGCAGATGATCGCAACGTGTATGCGTGCCTGGTGACTGACAGGTGATAGACGATGGTGCGTGATTGAAGCAAATGTGGAAAAAGGGGAGCGAAGAATGACCGAGAATCTTGAGTTTGGAGCGCGCGATTCGACTGCGTTCGACGTGTCCAGAGGTAGCGTTCGCTCAGATAAAATCGAATGACAGTGCACCTAGATAAGGATACAAAAGCATCTTCACAGACAGCCGATAATTTAATTAGCCGATTATGTAATTTGTAATTGTCTCTTTCATTCCGAGGACACATAACAATGTGTAAGAAAGGAAGTGCAAACTCGTGACGAAAAACGTAACGTCGACTGGTTAACGTAACGTTACCATTTTTTGTTCTCTCCCCGTTTCTTTCTACATTGTCCCCGCAGTCTATTGATCGCACAAATGTTTCGGAGGTGCAATCTCGTCAGGCAACTTCGTGGTGCGTCGACGGAGGCTGCTGCAGTCGCGGAGACGCCGTCTCGGGTAAGCGTCGTCCCATCTGTCGATGTGGTATATTTGATGTTTTGTGCATCAGGCGTTGTCGAGGCGATTTAACGAACCTGTCTCCGTTTATTACAGTTGCAGCGGCTCAGAGCAAAGTTGCATGACGATGAGCAGCAGGGGATACTCACGGACACGTTTGGACGTAAGCACACGTATCTCAGGATTTCCCTTACGGAGCGTTGCAACCTTCGCTGTGAGTCTTCCTCAAACTCGTACAAAGTGTTGCACGAGAGTTCTCTTGCTTGAATTTGACGACCATTCCATAGAAATATTTGAAATTGAAACGCAGAATAAACATATCGAAGAAATACATTTGTTTTGAAATGAATAACAAGCGTTTATAATTATGAAAATATTTAACTTAATGGTGAACGCAATTAAATTAAAGATAAATATTTTCATAATTATAAACGCTTGTTATTCATTTCAAAACAAATGTATTTCTTGAACGTTGGTCAAAGTTTATGTACTAGACTTAGGCTTATTGCGACATGAAATGTCATGTTTTTTTTATCGTTGCAGGTACATATTGCATGCCTGCGGAGGGCGTCAAATTGACGAAGAAAGAAGGTATTCTAAAAACGGAGGAGATAATACAAATAGCTGATCTTTTTGTCAAAGAAGGTGTGCGCAAAATACGTTTGACCGGCGGCGAGCCCACAGTTCGTAAGGACGTCATTGACATCGTCGGTAAAGTCTATTTCTCAATAGTAAACTGTGATTAATTAACTTAACATTGCAAAGTTGTTTCAGTTTTCAAAATCTGTTCGTGTATGATTTTGCCTTTTAGGACAACTGAAGCAACTGAGAGATCTGGAGCAGGTTGCGATCACAACTAATGGGTTGACTTTGACACGTCAATTGCCAGCTCTTCAACGAGCGGGATTGGATGCGCTCAACATATCGTTAGACACTTTCAAAGAGGAGCGTTTTGAGTTGTTTACTCGCAGGAAGGGCTGGGCAAGAGTTGTGGCTTCCATAGATCTTGCTGTTCAGCTTGGTTATAATCCCGTGAAGGTAAATTTAGTAAAAATTACATAAATTGTAAATATAAATTGTGCACAGCGATATACAGCGATGCCTTATGTAACTATTTTTTTTTTATTTGGCTGATTAGGTCAACTGCGTGATAATGCGAGGACGCAACGACGATGAAATAATTGATTTTATCAATTTCACGAGAGACCGGCCTATCGATGTACGTTTCATAGAGTATATGCCGTTTCAAGGAAACGAATGGAAGGAAAATAAGATGGTTCCCTTCGACGAGATGAAAACAATAATCCGAGAGAAATATCCTGATTTCCGAGCTCTGCCAAATCAGCCCAACGACACGTCCAAGGCCTATCACGTGCCAGGATTCGTGGGGCAGGTCGGGTTCATTACATCCATGAGTCAACATTTCTGCGATTCGTGTAATCGCTTAAGAATAACGGCGGACGGAAATTTGAAGGTATGCCTGTTTGAAGGAAAAGGCGAAGTCTCACTTCGAGACGCCTTACGAAATGGAGCTTCGGAAGATGCGCTTAAGGATTTGATAAGAGGAGCGGTATCGCGAAAAAAGAAGCAACACGCAGGTATGCTATATATACCGTATATATCGATTAAGGTGGAAAGAATGCGCGATATCTCATATAATAAGACTTTTGACTTTTTTATTAAAAAACCTTAGTAAAAATATTTTTAATAATTTGAAGATTTTATTCTTGTTTTTTGTTTTCTTCTTTCTCTCTCTCTCTCTCTTTCGAGATTTTGTTTTCTGTTATCTCCGTTTATTTTACAACTGTAGCAGTATCGACAAACCGATCAAGCTATATTCTCTGCTATCACACGTGTGTTTCAGGGATGTTCAATCTTACACAGATGGAAAATAGGCCAATGATTCTGATTGGAGGTTAATTGATAATTAACCAACTGTATTAAATTATGTTCGGCTTTGTCGAAACGCGCAACAGACATTATTACAAATTTTCAAATTCTTATGTTAATATAGCATCAATACTTTTTATAACTAATTTTACAACGTATTTACGTTGCAGCAAATCGTAAGAAGAAACTTTCTTGCAAAATGAGTAACATCATGTCGATGCGGTACAAATATTTCCCATATATTCCAACCTATTTTAAAAGTAATTCAAGTATTAGAATGTATTCATCATTATCGCACATAGATGAAACTGGTAAAGCAAGTATGGTGGATGTTGGGTGGAAAAACGACAGTAAACGTGTAGCAACAGCAAAGGGATTCGTGAAGATAGGTCCTATTATCAGTAATCTGATCGCGGAAAACAATGTAAAGAAGGGTGATGTGTTATCGGTGGCCCAATTGGCCGGTATTATGGCAGCGAAACGTACCTCTGACCTCATACCGCTGTGTCATCCGCTCTCTTTGTCTTATGTAAACGTACGTTTAAGATTGAACGAAGAATCGCACGAAGTCGAAATCACATCGGAGGTCAGATGTACCGGCAAGACCGGCGTCGAAATGGAAGCTTTAACCGCTGTAAGTATAGCGGCTCTCACGATCTATGATATGTGCAAGTACGCGGCCAATCCTGGCACAATGCAAATTTACGGTATAGAATTGGTGTCGAAAACGGGCGGTACGAAGGGTGATTTTGTGATAGATAAAGCGTAGACGATATCTTTACCCTGTCGATTACACGAATCATCGACAGGATAAAGATTCATTCTGCCGTGGTTATAATTAAATTATTAAATAATACAGAATAGAGTACAACATTCCAAAAGCCTCAAATATGTTTGAAGAAAAGAAGTTTGTGAGCTTGTTGATGTGTTTAGATTATTTAGAATGTCTATTATACGTAGATTTTATACATATTTTACATGGTAAGAGGGGGGTAATTATATTTTACGCGCATAATAATACATAGAATACTTTTATACACACATGTGTGTCTATACATATACGTATATATAAAATATCAGTGATAAAAACATTACTAAATCCCGCATAATAATTATCAATTTTAATTCAAAATGGCTGTATGTCCAGTCTCGTCTACATATTTTTGTACTTATATACATATATACGCGTAATTAGTGTAAAGATAAGCTATTATTGGATTACGCATAACAATGAAAACCATGACCATTCCAATATTTCAACGGGACATGCAATAATCTCTTCCTAATTTTTTTATAAGTTAAAGAGACCTTCATAAATAACGCAAGGTCTTAAATGTAAGTGGAAAAATCTTAGAAAAACGATTAATATAATGATAATTAGATCAGAAGTTATGAATTAGGTCATTAAGGGTGTGTTAATGTTTGTGTACTAAGTTTAAACGAATATGTATGCATTTGTTTAAACGAAAAGGAAAAAATTTTACTACGATTATGTACAAAATATTGGTAAAACATGTAAAGAATTCGTACGCTTTGTCGTGAAATTTCTCTCAAAAGGGAAATTAAAAGCAGAGTGCAATAACAGGAAATAACACAACGATGCTTACATTGTTGTACCTTCCGACTAGCGCCTTTTAATAAGCATTTAATATTATCACGAGGACGAAAGCATCCGTTGAAGAAAATAAAAAGAGGGTGGTAATACGTAAACAGATTTTGCCAAGAGTTACCCTATATTACGGGTCACAAATAATTCTGTCATATTGTATTTTTTAAGAATATTGTTACGTTGTTGAAAGATTTTATCGCAATATATTGTTTAATATACAAGAGACAGGATCTTTCTTGTGTATATGCGTCCGTTCCTTTATTTTCTTATTTATGCGCAGGAAGAGATTGCCTTAGAAAAATAGCGGATACGCCGTAAATCGCTTTATCCGCGAGCGCTTTGCGAGCGGGTAGAAGAGATAGGTCGGGTGAGAGCTCCCGCATGCTACGGGGTGAGAGATCGGTGTGTATGTACGTCGATCGTTCCGGTAAATCGCGATAACGTACGGCCGCGTTGTCGCGGGAGTCGCGACGCGGTCGCCAGGATAAATACGTCTCGCCGGTTAAGGGAGATCGCATCCGATGCCGAGAGGACCTTTCGGCGCAATCGCACGTGCCCCCGATGGAACGGGCACGGCGCCACCGTGCCAGGATTTCCGAGCTTTTTCCCATCCTCCGCGAGAAGCGAAATTCAGTGCTCGGCCCGCAACCGTGTCGCACCGCCCCCGACCGCTTCGACGCTCCGTGCGATCGCGGTTGAGTCGCGTGGAGAGATCGAAAGAACGAGCGTGTCGCGTTAGCGATCGTTATCGAATTAAGTAAAACCTTCGAAGTTCGTTGAACGATCTTGTCCGATGTAATTTTTAACAATTATAATTTTCAATAATTAATAATTGTGGTAAAAAGCGCGAGAAACCGGCTGATTATGCTCGGAACGATTTTTTGGTACCGCGAGAACAGCGGGAACGTTCTCGGTTCGCGGTAACGTGAAAAACGAGAGGGACACACGGGCACGCCGAAACAGGCAGCAGTGACGACGGGGCATTATGCCAACGATCGGCGTGATCTCGCGGGTGTTTGACGAAGGGCCGCGAATAAAGAGCGATCGCTTGGATCGGACGGTGGTGGGCAGGTCGCTTAATTAGATCGGGCGCGGAGCGGCGCGTCAATTAGATCGAGAGATGTGCGCGAAGTGAACGATGGCCCCATTTCACGGCATGGCCCTGCTGCTCCTGGGAATCGGATACCTGTTACACGCGGAACCACTTCACAGCGAACGCGGCATCGGTAAATGTCCCGTGCATCCTCTCCGCCCTCGCCCCCACCTCCGGAGAACCCTTTTCCGGCCCCGGAATACTCTTTTGTATCCGCGGCTGTGCGCCGCGCCACGTAATTTCAGTTGGATCGTCCGAAGTAATTTCGGCCGCGCGAAGCCCCGGCGGCAGTCCCGGCATACGAGAGAGTGGCATAAATCATTTTTATTATCGAATTCATCTCGCTGTCGGGCGAGGAGGATAAAATCGAAAGCGCAAGTTCGAAATGCGCCGTTTGTAGCGCATCAAAGAACGAAATATTTCGGTGTGTCGTTCGTAAAAATCGGAGATCAGACTTGATCTAAATTCAATAAAAATTCCATTCCTCGAAGTTAAATATTTCATACGCCGACTTTTTGAATTAAGTGTGACAAAAGAAACTTTTTTAGATTTATTGTTTTAATCAATTATACACGGAAAAAAATTTTGACGAGTTGGAATTCGCTAATTGTTCAATTTTGTGTAATTTTTTTGATTTTTTTCCATGTTAATTAATATTCTGCAGTACTTATGAAAATAGAGGGTTAATTAATCATAATTAGCGTTAACCGAGAATCATATTTTCGAGAATTATAAAATCCAGTATACTTTTATTCTCAACAGTAATACACATGTCTTTTTTGGAGCTGGAAGAGAAATTAATTAACAAAGTGATTTATATACGTTCTTTAGCGGAAAAAGTAGTACCTGAAAAATAGAGAATAATTAACAACTTTCTTATAAGTTGATATCTAAAGCCATGAAAGAGCAAAAATTATGGCATTTATTTAAGGGTATTTTTGTTATTCCTGTCCTCTCTGACATAATTTTAACGCTTTGTTACCAGAATAGCGTAATATGTTGTGAAATTATTAAACACTTATTAATATCATACATACCAACATAAAATCGTAATTAAAAATATGTTTATACTATTTTTCGTTAGATAAAGATATCAAAATTTGAAATACATTGTAAAAAGGCAAGCCAAATTGAAGACGTGCGTAAAGTCTGATCTTAATTTAATTATTTAATATAATGTAACATATAATATACATATACAATAATCATCTTAACCGTACTTTTTTTAAAATGATTATCATATACGGGTCCAAGTGTGTGTATAAAATAAACAGTTCGTGCATAAATATTTCATATTGAAAACACTCAGGTATTTTTAATCGGAGACTTCGGGGTTATTTTTTAAACCGCGGTCTGTAATTCTTTCCGACGAAAGAACGGAAAGAACGTCACCGATGGGAATAATAGGATGTCAATTGTCAACACGTAGTTTATGTTTATTTCAGCGCTCTTTCATCTCAACGACGACACGGGCAAAGGGGAGAAGTCGCAGCGTGGTCCAAGGAAAACCTATTTTTTCAAAGACACGCCGCAAAAATTAACGGTGGCTATAGGGCAGGCCGCCGTCCTGCTATGTCGTGTTAAAAACCTAGGAAACAGAACTGTGAGTCTCACTGAACATCCCCCTACCCGCGTCCTGCTTGATCTCATCGATCTCAAAAGTAGTTCGCGTGTCTGCGATAACTTAATGTGCTCGCGCAACCCTTTCGCTGCTGGCAACTCAAGCGTATAGCGTGTTCATTAGTGTTCATTTAGATTCGATAGAGTTTAAAAAACGGGGGTTCTTTGCACGACGATATCATCATAATTCGTCGTAATTTTTTTGCGGATAAAAAGGTGGAGAGGTCTGAAAAAAAAGTGAAAGCATCAGCGTTTTCGTATTCATGAACCAGTGCCAAAAAGTCAAAATCGATATTCTTATCGCTTCGGGCGGCTCCTTTAAAAATGAATCCCCGTTACGACAACTATGCAGCCATAAAAGGAGGAACGTCCGCTTCCTCCGGGTCCTCGATTTTCCCGAGTCTAGAATCCTCCATTTTTCTAGCGTTTCAAAATGTTTGAAATAGAATGCAAATTTTCCCCGTTCGGACTTGTTAATTACGTCTTTGTATCTCTAAATTCTCTCCGGTCTCGACAAGATCGAAAACTTCATTATAATGCGAGGTGAGGAACGAGCGCGCGCGCGCGGATGGGTTGAATCAGCAATAGCAGCAGTAGCAACAGCAGCAGCGAAGGGGTTGAGGGCAAACTGCAATTACCTATGCCTTATTCGTGGCACCTCGCGCGTGTATGTGTGACCCAGGTGTCTTGGATCCGAAAAAGGGACCTACACATCCTGACGTCCATGTCGGTGACTTACACGGGCGACGCGAGATTTACGGTAGTCGGCAATCCGGAGACCGACGACTGGAATCTGCGAATAGATTACGTGCAACCGCGGGACGCCGGCATTTACGAGTGTCAGGTTAATACAGAACCGAAGATATATAGAGCCGTGGCACTGAAGGTTTTGGGTGAGTTTCCCTGCGACTTTGCGAGGGGCGAGGCGTGTGTGCGCGCGCGCGCCTCCGCGAGCTCCATAAATCGCGCTTAAAGATCTCCCCGGGCGTCTTTCGCGGCCGGCAGGAACCAATTGTTTTAACTTCCTCCCCTTCTTCTCCCTTTCTGACCGTCCTACGGCGATCACGTTTCGTCTCTCGCGTCACAATGACGACGACGACGACGATGATTTGCTGAGCTTTTCGAAATGAAGTAGAATCTATTTTCCAAGGTAGAATTCGACGCGGATAGCAATAGGATCTTGCGCGTCGTTTCTCGAGTGTAATAAAGCCAATCGCGAACGACGCGCTCTGCTTCGATATTTCACTCTTCTCCTCCTTTCGTCGTTATTGCTGTTTCTATCAGATATACAGGCGAGGATCACGGGTTCCCAGGAGTTGTACATCAGGAAGGGTAGCACAATCAGTCTGACCTGCATTATAGAGCTGCAGGATCTGCCTCCGAGCAACGTGACCTGGTACCACGCTGGTGTGGTGATCGATTTCGACGGTCCAAGGTACGCAAGCGGTCGGCGATATACCTCTGTGAGATACACAATTAGCTGATGGAAATCGTCGCTCGAACGGCACTAATATCGCGGTGGAACGAACAATCGAGTCTAATCGGTGTAATCTCCCGCCGGCTTCGAAATCGCTTTCGCGCGTACACGCAAAGCTGCTGCTGCGGCATCGAAAAATTATCGGTTTTCAACAGTTCGCGCGGATGATTCTATTCTTGCTCTTCAAGAATCGCTGTCGCACCGATGTGGATATCACGATTGAATTTTAACGCGGTCGAGCGAGAAATTGGATTGACGCTGGATTGGCGAAACGGGATGACGCGATTTCACGTTAGTCGTTGAGATAAACGCAAAGCAAACCGTGCGCGCGCACACAACACACAAAACACACACACACACACAAAACACAAACACACACACACACATATATACACGCAATGTGGATTTTAGCGGAAACTTTCGCAAGTCAGTTCTCGAGAGTAACGCTCTTACGTGTTACGTTCGACAGGGGTGGCGTATCGCTGGAAACGGAGAAGGGTAAGCGTGGTACCACCAGCAAGCTCCTAATAACGCGTGCTCAACTTAACGATAGCGGTAATTATACATGCGCTTCGAGCAAAGTCACCCCGGCGAGCGTCATGGTGCACGTGCTAAACGGTGAGCAAAATACCGGTGGCAATATCGGCAGCGAAGGGGAGGTTGCGACGGGGGGGGGGATTGCAACGAGGGGATTGCGATGGCTCATCTCGAAATTCTCCGCTTCGCGATCGAGCAAGCGAGGGAGAAGCGTAATGTACTACATTGCGAAATTACTCCCCGAGCGCGCTTCGCTGATAAGGACATACATTTGTTTTAATTTGCACTCGCAATCTGCTCCTAGATTTCCCGTGCTTTCTCTCTTTCTCTCTCTCTTTCTATCCATTATGTTAATATGTTTGTTATTGGTATAAATATAAATAATGCAGTCCACATATCATATTTGCAACAAATGTTTAATGTTGCGATGAGGCAGGGCACAATTTTCAATAATGTGATATTAAATAATAATAGATTCGCTCGCTCGTTGTGGCAATAAATAGTACATATAATTAAGTAACAAATTATCCGACGATAATTTCGATATTTAGTAACGAGAAACATGACCGACTGCTCGGTCATGTCTCTCGTCTGTCTTTCTCGGGACAACGCCAACGGTCGACGATCCTTTAAATCCTCGAGGATCCCTTCGCGCGCAATACTCGTTTTCTCCTATTACTGCTACTACTTTGCGACGGGCCGTTAATAAATTTAATGTTCGTTAGCGAGCACCCGAGAAGGATTGGCGAGATCGGGACACGTAAAGATCCGGGGAAGCGACACAAAAGCGACACCTTAGTCGTCCGATGTAATTCTCTTTTCCAGGAGAGCATCCCGCTGCGATGCAACACGGCGGCACCGGTGATGTAAATAGGAGACTCGTCCTGCTCGTCCTGATTTTCCTCGTCGATACGATGTTCCGGTGAGCGACACGCCGCCAATCTCTTGCGAATTCCTCCCGAATACGCTCCCTGAGGCGTCCGCACGGATGCCCGCTCCGATGGAGAGGAATCGATGACACAGTGTGTCCGGTGTATGATTTTGCAGTACTGCCCAATTGTTTTTCTTTTTCTTATGGACGTTTTCGCACGATCGACGTTAGGTAACGCTAATTCAGAATTATTTGTTTGACGGATTTTAATCGGCTCAGACTCCTTGGACTCTAATAATGATCGCTCAAATACCCCTGCCCCTACAGATGTCAGTACGGATGTAACGTGTATGTAATGTAATAAATCTTTTGGAGTTACACAATTTGTCTGGTTATGTAAATCAACATCACCATCCCCTGTTGATGATCATTTGTTACCGAGAGTTCTTCTATAATGTCAAGGTAAGATGTGCCAAGTAAGTCAAGAGGGAGAAAATATTAATCTCTTATAATCTCTTAAATTCAATAATAAATATATAATCTCTTAAATTCAATAATAAATTAGAAACTTGATCCCGAAATGCCTTTTACTTAACGCACTTTCAGCCAAGCTCGTCGATTATTCCTTCGTCATCGTAGTATAATAAAATTGAAAGAGACAATTACATAATTCACGTAATCATATGTTTAGAAACGCCGCGACGAGGTACAATTGTATGCCAGGTTTAAAGTGTAAACCGTGGCGGAGTATCTCGCAAGACATAACGACCCAATATAAAACCGTGCCAAAACGGGCATCCTAGCGTTAAGTGCAGAAATCGGAAAAGCATAATCCGTAAAAGCAGGCGCGTGACGCGCATTCGCGGCGCCGTTCGCCGCCCGCGCCGGGTCAAAGGGTTAACGCGTTGTCCTTCTTACTCGACGGCGTAACGGAGAATCCCCGGAATCGCCGCTACCCTGCCCCGGCGATAATGGAACGCCGGGCTCTTTCCGGGAACCGTGGTCCGGGCACCGGGAAAGCTCTCCTGGTGCGAACCCCCCCACGGGACCTGCCGGATCCTGTCCGGTCTCATTTTATGCAAATCGCGCGCGGGAAGCATCAGTTAGACGTCCCGCCGCGAAGCATAGTCGCCGTCCGGGTCCGATGCAAATTCATGGCGGACATAACGACGATCTCTACCACTCGCTCTATCGCCGTCCCTTAATCCCCGCACGCTCGCGATATTTTTCTGGCGAAAAGAGCTCGGCAAGAATCATAAGCTCTACAGAACGTAAATTATCATCCAGACTTGTTAACATATGCTTCCTGCACCAAATTAAAAAATAAAGGAAAATTAATTGAAAAAGCACCGCTATGATAGCGGATATTAAATGACGAGGCGTTATCTGCGGCGGTGATGCAAATGGGAACGGAACAGTTTGCATTCGATTAATGCTGAATTGGGAATATTCGTAATACTTTAATGCATGTGGTTTGGTCTTTTACTGTATTTTATAAACTATATTTGATATATTATAAAAATTCATTTCGTATAACACGTATAACAAATTTATGGCTATATACAATCTGGAAAAAATAAATACGTTTTAGGAAGATATGAAAAACATTCTAAATAAAATATTCGGATTGGTGAGAGGCTTCTCTCGCGAGTTTGGCAAACTTCGTTTGCAAATTTTCGTCTCTTGCTACGACAGGCAGGGAACGTCGACGCGAGAGCGAGTTCTATCTCGGCGAGAGAGTTACGTGAGATCGCGCGAGTTAGGTTCGGATGATTGAATTTTTGAACGCGCTCGAGCTATCGCCCGCGCGAGTATCACCCTAATGAACGAGTTTACGCCGTAATCGCGTGAAGCTTTTGAGCGCAAAGCAATTTTCATGGATATTCCCGCGGAAAATCCCGGCACGTCGGTGGTTCCGCAAAAGCCGCGTAAACCCATCGCCGCGAGCCTCGCGTAATTCTTTTGGTGTTGCGATACCGTTCTGTCGTATCGCATTTTGCATCACGTGCCGATACTTAATTACGCGGCACGCGCTTTAGATCTTTGAACATCGAGAGCAAGTATGACGCAATAAACACGCGTATCGAAAAGGTAAATAACTTATACTTTCCGCGAAGGAGGGATACAGAAACTCCTTCGGTAGTCCGCGTCGAAGTTTAATCAATAACAATGTTGTTTGGCGCTGGTCGCGCTCGCGATTCGGCTTCCCGAGTAGGTACGTGAACCGTATAAAGCGTATGCGAGACAAGTTGAATTATTCGAGGAATGCACTATACACGCAAATGCAGCCTTTATTGAGGAGTTTCGCCTGTGGTCGATGCCATACAGGCGAGAGGACGTATGTGGCGTGTCCGCGGGGCCGTATACAATATAAAAGAATGAGGATCGAGTGGGATGGGGCGCAAGACACGTTTATAAAGAAACGGAAAAGAAAATTCATGGCGTGTTCTTTTCGCGTCCGATTCACAGAATCAAGGCTCCGCGCACATAATAGTCTCCGAGCGGTTTGCCAAAACTGACACAATGGATCGTTTCAAAGATCGTTTCTGTGCGAGAGAGATTAGCATTGTGAGCGCGCAAGAAGCTTAGCTACAAAAATACTTAACGCCTCGAACTGAACAGCTGCGAGGAGGAGGATTACGTCGGATTCAATCTTCTCGCCGAGAAAATATCGATTTCAAATCGGCTGACGAGTACCTACCTACCTGGCAAGTGTCTGATTGAAAAACGCCATGAACAGCGAGCTTCCAAATCGCGTTAGACAATTTGCTTCTGAAACATTGATTCGTTTCGTGAGCCGAATTAACGATCGATCCAACATTCCGAGGGAAGTAAACGTCACATCTCTCTCCGCAACGCGCATTGATTCTTATCGGATTTCCGGGGGACAGCGGCACTATCCGCGCGGATGTCAAATACGCGGGGGAGCGAAAGAGAAAAGTTTCGGGGTTGAGCAGTCTAAGAATTTCGCTAAAAACTATACCGGGCGGCTGCTGCCGCATTAGATGCTTGTACGGCACGGGAGCGGAATTTTATCGAGTTAGCCAACGAGTTTCTGCGACACGTTCGTGAAAGTTAGCCGCGTAACTGCTGATCGTCCAGGAAATTCTGTCGATTGTTTATCCAATCCTCTTCTGCTTTTACCGAGTTCTGTTAAAAAGAGAAAGAAACAAAAAAATAGAAAAAGCAAAATTCCCAACTTTCTCACTCGTTGAACGGAAGTGGAACGGCTCATTTGCTTTTATTGCGTCTCTGTATGCACAAGCGGCATGGGTAGCCGAGAAAAAGGTTGAGAGAAAATTACAGTTAACTAAAATTATTATACCGCGCTAAAAGGGAGCGTTGTGAAGTAGTAATGTCGACATCGTCGCACAACACTACAGGCTTTTGGTAACAGCTTCGATTGATGATAATCTGACGGTAATAATGATAAAATGACGGTAATAATGATGTCATTGTAATGCAAATCACAATCACGGTGGCATTAATGATTTTATTAGTGGTCGGCGTTTCCCGACAACAAAATTCTCGACGAGATACTTTTTATCACGCGCGCAACGTGTTAAAGTATTGTAATCACTGTTTAATCAAACCGTTAGTTGCGTTACATCGATCGAGGTGAAGGTGAAGGTGGGAAGAGACGGTTCTGGCGTTTACCTTGTATGTTCTTATAATATTCGTAATATTCGTATTAAAGTAAGTATCTGAATATTGCAGCGATTACTAAATAAATCCCCGGCGAGGTGTTTTCGGCATAGTTGCGCCGAGAGCGTAGGTAAATTTCCTTTAGTTTGTCAAAGGAAGTACTTAACGTTCTACCGTTCAAAGCTGAGCAAAGCTCGAGGGCGTAACTCCTATCCTTATATCGATCGCGGTGTTTGCAACAAGCGTCGGATAAACGCGGTTCGTTTGTGGTGCCGGATCATCTGCAATTGACAAACCGTGTCGATGCTCAACCATGCTGAACCCGCTCGATATCGATATCGATCTCGATCTTAACGGTCCGCGGTTCTGTTGAGCCGGACACTCCGAGACAGCCGGGGAATGAGACTTGCAAGAGCGCATGTTACACCAGGGAACGATGCTGCCCGGCACAGAACTCAGCACTATACTCGTTGTCGTTATGCAAAGTAACGTAATAATAAATATAAAGTCAAAATGAGTAAAAAAATCTCAAAAATAAAAAAACCTGACAAAATATTAATTTTTATTATTATAACTCCTGTGAATCGAAGTAGTAGTGAATCGAATTTGTCGTAATTAATGACCAGACACCGCTTTGTCAAACTTAATTATTTAATTTAACATTTTTTTAAAAGTTTTTTAAAGTCGTTATTAAACATTAAAAAATGAAACTGTCATCCAACAGAGAGTGTTTAAAAAGATTCGGTCATAGTCCAATTTGAACGTTGTAGACTACGCCCGGACGTTTCTGTGGCAGGATTTATCACGGCGTAGCGCACGTAATTATTTGCCGAAATTGCTCGCGAACTACGGACGGAGATTGCAATAATTTCCTCCTTTCAGCATCGTAGCTGAAATTCTTTTGATGAGCGTCCTTTGTTCCGCGCCCCCGTTCGAGGCGGTCCCTCCTCTCGTTTTCTTGAGGACAATTCGTTTACGTCACTTGTCACTGGGGCTACTTAAAATGAGTAAACACCAGAGTAAACAAGATGCTTCGGTGCCAGTATCAAAGAGTAAATTATGGCAGAGTATAGTCCAAAGATTGAGCGTCAGATTGCCGACTGATACAGAGGTAAAACATGATCAAATATATGCAAAAGTAACAAAAAAAAAAAAAAAGAACATGACGGTTAGTAAGCAGGTTAGTAATTTTATGTCACGTATATTTGGTCAAGACAATATATCTGTTGCAGAAATAAATAAAGAGTACAATTCACTTCTCGCGATTTAAATTTAATCGACAGCCAAAACTGTCGGTCTCGAAAATAATATTCATGCTGCGCGGTGCATCCATCTTATTTTCGTTCCCTGTTTCTTAATGCAATATGTATTCCTTATCGATTTCATATTTTACGATGCGCAAAAGTGGATGCTATAAATATTCAAATCAATCAGAGGAACTAAGAAATTTATGCGAGGAAACCGCTTTTATATACTTCCTTTCTTTTTGCCGAGCGTTATATTGAGCGTTACAGAGTATCGCTATGGGATCTAAAACGGTACGTGTTTCTTATTTCCGGACACAGAGCCAGACCAAGAGAAAAACGCTGTCGAAGCTTTCCATGATTGGTTTCAATGGGGCCGGCATACTCTTTCACAGGCGCGGGGATCGACTTAAGGTACGTTCTCGATCCAGTGCGGCGGAATAAATTGGATGGACGCAAATAAATTGAGTGAGCGCGGAAAATGAACAAGTTTTAATACAGGTGAATCTCGATGCGCCTGAAGAATCGTCTCGCTCGTTCTTGAAATAAGATCTCTCTAAAAAAGAAGAAAAAATTAGATAATTTTGTGCAATAATTTTCGGGGAGACGTGGCTCCCGCGATTCCGGTTAACGATGCTGAAATTTTAGAAGAACTTTGAGATTTTATCCATATGCATCTTCGATATTATGCATTTTACGACTCTTCAACGCCACCGGCGTCTTCTTATAATCTGGCGCGGTCGTTTCCACAGTCGTTTCATTTATTATCGTCGTTGAATCTTTCCGCTGATTTATTGCCGCGTTAAGTTCCACCTCCGTGGACAATATTGGTACAGCGCTTCTTGTCGTTTGGACAGATCCCGAGATACCAGAACACTTTTCGTCTGGAACCGTTTAAAGCTTTTCACGCAGCGACGGTCGACAAGATCGTTCGTGACGTAATGGAGATCAAATTATCGGCGATTACATCATATCAGCCGGATCAGACATCAAAATTGTGTTTGGAAATTGCCAGTGACGTGCTAAAGGCTGTCGGCAAGAAGGATTACGACAGGTATTGAAATTATGGAAATTTATTTCAGATTGAATTCCACTTCTCCTCACTTATTCCCGTCTCACTTTCCTCGCCGCATCTCGCTGTAATCTTTTGTAAAAATTACAAGTATCGTGTATCCTACATTCTCTACGTTCTAAAAGGTGACATGAGTCGCTGTTGTATCCATGTGTGTATCTAGATAACTGTTCTAATTTATTCCTTTTACGTGTTGGAGAAGACACGATTATTTTTAATTAAAAAATGGTGAACGATACATGTACAACATAAATAAGTATCGACATTTACGGTCACCGAGTGAGAGCTTAACAACGATTAAGTAAAACTTATAAAAATTGTCCAAGATTTAAAAATTATTAGGCAGGTCCCGATAATCGACACATTATTCGCTTATTTTGTGAGACGACTGTTTGCGACTAGGTACAAGATAGTGACGCAAGTGTACATAATCCAGCGCTTCCAACAAAGTATGCACGCGGCCTTCCAGTGTCTCTGGGACGTGGAACGCGATAATTACTCGTATCACGTGTTCGAAAACAATCACATATACGCATGGTGCTGCGTATTCGGTGTGTATTACGATTAAACGCGGCGACGATCCTGAACTAATATCCTGCATTAAGCCCGTGCAGTCTCATTAGTTTGTAATATCGAGAGAGAAATACACATTGTAACGCTTATACATATTTATCGAGTCATCGTGAAACCGGCATTAGTAATTTCAATGATACTGGCTTCAAATACAATAATATATATCGTGAATAATAATAATGTTGTAACGGCTACGAATACAATGGCGTGAGAACGCTCGATGTAATTCGCGTGTAAAATGTACGAATGTGTCCAAAGTATAAAATATATGCATATAATGTGTGATGTGAAATTAAATAAAGAAGAAATATTAAATAAAGCGAAACATATATGGTCAATATAGCAATAAATTAATAAAATCTAATTCTGGCTAGTTTCCATACATAACTAATTATTTCGGTAGGAAGGTAAGACTTTAAACTATCGTTTTTGCAGGATCGTCAAAGAAACCAGCTGAATTTATTTCCGTAAAGCGTCTCGTTCCGTATAAAAAAAAAAGAAATAATTGCTTCATTCCGTCTTACGATTCGGGAATACAAAAAGTATGCTTGAATTCCTAATTCAATCCGTTGATAATGACGATAATAATTATCGTTAATGTGGCATTTGAGCAAACTAATCGCTTGTAGTAAAATGCACCGGGCAACGCTAATGCTGGAACAATTACTTTACCGCGAACGCATGGCTGCAGCCATACAAAGCCATTGTTTTACTTGTGACAAAACGAGAAGCTTCTTGCACGGTTTCCCTGATAATTACGTTTCTTCAAGTACGAGCGATGACCCGGGATCGCGTCAGGCCAGAGTGTTTAAAAAGTCCGGTAATTGTTTCTTCCCTCGGCAGAATGAACAAAGGACGACTTAAAAAGGTTTCCCGGTATAACTCGCTTCTTGCATAAAGTCCGTCGTATATATAAGGTGTTCCAGATTATCGGTGACTTTCTTCCTTCGATTAGCTCGACTTTTAATCTTACTAAAGTTTTACTCGTGTCATCTTTCTCGCGCGATTTATTAGAAAAAAATTCTATCTTAAATATATTAAACGAACAATTACGCAACACTAATTTTAAATCGATGGAAACGTAATTTGAGGTTGATTCTCTGAAACTTCCTTCATTTTTTATCACTCACGGATCAGGGATTATCGGCTCTTCACGATATTTTCGTTAGAGAAGATAAACGTCAAGTTTTGTCCCCAAAAATACGTACGCGAAAAGAGATGCGGGTAATCTGGAACATCCCGGTATACCCGGACGTACTCGATAGGGTTGTTTCAACTAGCGGAATGACTCTGGAAAAGTTCTGATCGATTATGCAGTAACCATTCGCTATTAATATTTATTGCTTTCGCGACTTCGTGCTTTCTACCCTCTCGGCCTCGGAGTGATGATTTATCGGGAAACTTTCGGTTGGCTCGTCTACGCCTCGTCGGAATAATAGACGGCGGTTTAAAGTTCCGGCGACACCGTGAACATTTTTATGAACATTGGCACGCTCGCCGGGACGTGCCTTCGATCGCGAAACGGCGAGATTATGTTTCGCGAGCGTGATCGCACTGCGGCGAAATGGAAGTAATTTTAACGTCTCCGAGAGTGAGACGACGAACGGGAACGAAAGAGGAAAGCAAGATCGAGAAACGGAAACGCGCTACACTTTTTGCATGGCGAATTTAAGACAAGGAATTTCCGTCTCTAATCTAACTCACGTGCCACGGATTTAAAACTCAAGCGGCGAGATAGCATGTGCGATCGAAAAGTGAGTTAATGTATATAAAGCGAATTAATTAAAATAATAATAATAATAATATTCTCAAGCCTGTTGATTCTCGATTGGATGCAGGATGCAATCGATCGCGCGCGTTACGTGCAGCTCGTGACGCTGTCAAACGCAGACGACGGTAGTTCAGTCGATCGAACCCTTTCAGCGTCATTACGCAAAGGTCCAGAAGAAAAATGGACCAATGTAACCGACACGCTGATAAGCAAAAGATGGAAGAGATTTTGTTTTATCGGCAAACGCTCTCGCAATTTATGCGTCACTGCGGATTCATTTCACAATCAATGATGCTAGCTTATAAAGTCGAATCAAACGAGTAAAATTTTATTAAAGATTTATTAGAGAGAAAAATATTGTGTTAATTTTATATACTTTTTCCGAAAGCAGTAAACTACACGCCGATTTTTTGTTGCTTTTTAAAACACAGCATCTAGTCGGAATAGTAAATCCACATTATCCACATACTTAAATCGATCGCAGTTTACTGATTTCGGAAAAAGTATATAAAATTCACACAATATTATTAGCTACCAAGATCCAGTCTGCATGGACCGTAAATGGCGTTTTTCTCTCTGATTGTATGTACAACGGTCGGTTTTATTTATTATTATTTAAAGAAGGTTTGTTGTAATAATAATTAGTTTATTATAATTATTATCGTTATTATTATTAACGTTATTATCGCCTTGTGATAATAATAATAATAATAATTATATATATATATATATATATATATATATATATATACCGTTTGTTTCCACAAATATTATCCAGTGATGTAAAATAAAAATTTACGATTTCCAAAATCGCAGCACGTTTCGATATATTCTGCGGATAAAAAACCATCTATAACATCAAGCTCCGGTATTCCCTCGCGGTACTGTTAACGACCCTATTGTCAATTCATCATTTAGCGGTTGTATTTAGTATTTCCCTTTGGCGAGAGTCAAAATAATAAAATTATTCGATTGGGGATAGAGATACAATGTGCCTCGCGGGCCTCGAAGCTTGCGCGACACACACAAGCTGTGTTCTCTGGCAATGCCTCACTGGAAATTACAGGGAAAATGTGTGGCGGTTCTCTCTCTTTCTCCCTCCCGTTAAATTAATGGCGCAATTTCGATGTCCTGCCACGTGACACCGCGGTGTAGCGCGCGAGGGATGTTGCCGCCGGCGAATCGAAGAACGAAACAGGAACCGAAAACATTTGCGAGACCCCTCTCTCGTAAAATAGTTCACGGCTGAAATTCCGCGACGTTCGCCTTACTTGCGTTTCCGCGACTAACGTATCGCCCGTATTTGCCGTTACGCTATTTAACTGATTAGCCACCCTCTGCAACTCCCGGGTTAATACGGTGAGAGACCTAAGGGTGCACTCGTCTGGAGAAATCATTAACGTGGTGATCTCTTTGCCTTTATGTAAAAAATGTTGAAGGGAATTATATCAAAATGAAATAAAGTCGGATAACAATTATTATTTAAAATTGTGAATCTTCGGATATTGTTTTAGCATCTATAATTAGCGTAATGTATAATTTTTTATACACTTTGGAAAACTTATTAATTGCTGCTCCTCATAGCTCTCTTGACAAAAGAAATCATGAAATTAATGAGGTTTATGGGACGACGGAATGTACGGGTATTCTTAAACCGCGACGCTGGTAATAGATACCTGTTTAGTAGCAAACCCCGGAATGGACGAGACATGTTTTTCCTCGGGCTCGTCTGTTACAAGTATAGCGTTAATATAATCCGCGTTGTTTAAAGAGATTATGTGTGTTCCCTCAGGGATTTGTAAAATTACACTTTATAGAACGACCGTGTATATGGCTGTGTATATGCGATAGCGGATACTTTGTTCATTTTAACAAGCCGTGCTGAGAGATCTCGCCTTCGAAGTTATAATTAAATTTTCCTCGTTAAAAGCGATCCGCGGATAGCGAAGGGAGGCGTGGATCGAATATTGTTTTCGACGATACGTTTATTTTATTCAACTTTTAACGAACCGAATTTCAAATGTCGCTGCCTAATGTGATAGAGTATACCGCGGTGATTTTCAAATATTCCTGACACCGAGAGTAATATAGATCTATATCGCGTCTTCCTCTAGAAGAAAACTGAGTTGTTATAATGCTTTTACCAGGAAATACTTTTTGCCTATGTCCGCAGCTACGTCCATTGTTCAGGTATAACAATTATTCGACTGTAAATTAACGCAAGTTATTTACCTAAATAGCAGAATTTTTTTAAATGTACTTAAAACTTTAGTTCTTGCGATATAAATGTGTATAATTTTCAAGGTGTCTTTCATTTCCATATCGTATAATCTCTGACATGATGCAAAATGACGTGCAACTTATAAAATAACTTTTTACGTTATCGGTTATATAATCTCTCGAAAGAATATCGCAACGTTTAACGATACATCCTTTTTTAACGATTTGAGAATTACAGAGCGAGTATATCTCATAATGCAATTGGTTACTTTGCGAAGCACAGAAAATCCTTTGCAATAGTTAATCCTCACGTTACACACACACACACACACACACACACACACACACACACACAGAGATAGTATGCGTTTTATGTACAGATTTTACATAGAATGCACCAATCACAGGAAATTCCGTAGAGCAGTAAACCATGCACGACTGCGCACGTGGAACGGAGCTCAAGGCAGATAGCGGAGCATATATGGCGATTTACGAATTTGGACAATGGTAATGATTATTCTGCATGTAAATCCTATTATACGCTTCCTTTACCTTTCTTTCCCGTCTTAACGTCTTTACCTGTTCGTTGCTTTCTCCACCTTTCTTTCTTTTAATATTTCTATTACCATACCAAGTTCTCTATCAAACACTGTCATGCTTAGTCGTCATTTATCTTCTTTGAAAAACAGCACAGCAGATGTGAGAGAGAGATATAAGAACTCGTTAAATTTATATCCATTTTAGTCTTTAATGCTTCCTTTGTTGTTAGTCTTCCCTTAATTCTTGTAAAGCCTATTATCCCAAGAAATATTCTCTTTCTGTCGAACATTCTTTATTTGTGGTTATTTATTACCGCAATTTTTGACCATTTTTGAAAAATATCACAGATACGAGAGAAGTTATAAACATTTTACTGTAGTAAATTTATGTTACATGTCAATTTATAGTTTTATTATTTATTTTTATAGATTTGTCTTTTACGCAAGACTTTGTTTATTTACAAA